TTCCCTTGCAGCGTAGGCACGCTGTCAGTGGCGGGATAGAAACAAGCTCTGCCGTCACTTAGCAACCCCCACTGTTGCATGGAGATGTTGACTTTTTCCTTTCTAGCTTTCCCAGCACAAGAAGAGCCGGGTGTGTAACTCACCCCACGGCTCCGGTGTGAGGCTGGAGCCAGCTGGGGATGCTTTGGGCTGGCCCGGTCCCTTCTCAGAGCATCGCAGCCATGGCCTGCTGCTGCTCCAGTGAATGAGACGCTGGGAGCTGGTGTGTCAGCCCTGAGCTTCCTGAGCTTGAGTAGAAGGATGCAGAGAGGGTTTTTGGCCCAGAGTGGCTGTCAGCAGGCAGCTGTTGGGATGGTGACACTTTGAGGCAGGCACTGATGGGGTGGCGCATGTACACCCCTTACGGTGTCACAGCCCAGGTCCCTGCTCTGGAGAAGAGAATGACACTCCAATTCTCTCTCAGGAGCAGGGTGGAGGTGGATAAGGGAAATATTGTCATCAGCTCAAAGTACAGCAAGCAGCTGGGAGAGATTTTGCAGCAGCAAAAGCTGCAGGGACTGAACCCTGGGCTGATTCCCTTCAGCCATGCAGAGCCTTGGCCCCACTGCCTGGGGATGCTGCATGGCATGGTCCAGCACAAGGGCTGCAGAGAGGCTCCCAGAGGCTGGAAGCACGTGGGAAGTGTTTTGTCCATGCAATCTTCCCTTGGGGAAGCACTTGGCTTGTCTGGCTTTGTGGCCAAGGAAGCAGGCGTGCTGCCAGGCTGCAGGGAGGGAGTGCAGCTCTTTCCTAGGGTGCTGAGGGCTGCAGGGAAACACCTCTGCAGGCTGCAATGCAGCACGGTGCCCTTTTTCTACCCTGCAACGGGATGCACCCGACCAAAGAATGCAGCTGGAGGTCACAGGGCAGGAGAGAGGAGAGATGGGACAGGGACTGTGTTGTCCTGCCATCAGTGAGTCAGCAGTGCCCCGGGCTGCGCCGGGAAGGCAGAAAGCACATCCTCTTTACACAGAGAAATGCTGCAGCCACTGCTCTAATCACAGCCCTGCCGCCACTCTGGCTTTCTTTCACGGGGCTTGAGTTCCATCTTTTGCAGCTTCAAGGTCTGAGCTCTCATCCTGGCAGATGCACAGGGACAATGCTGACTGGCACCACCGCAGAGCCAAGTGCTGCTGAGAACCTGGGAGCTGCCCCCTGCCCACACCTCTCCTGCTCTGTGCCCATCAACTGCCTGAAAAGCTCTGCCAAAACTCTTGTCTGAAGCAAGAAGGAGGTGAGGAAGGTCCCTGGAGACACGAGCAGGTGTGGAGGAACCTGCCTGTTCTTAGGGAAGAGGAGCAGCCTCTGCTGTGCTCTGCTGCCCCGGGCAGGGCAGCGTGCCTGGCTCTTCACTGCAGGCATCTGCAAGTCCCCACTCGGCTGCTTTATACAGAACTCATTTCTCCTGAAGGGAATTGCACTGCTGTGTGTTTGGGAAGCAGCCTGGGGACCTGGTCCAAATGTCCTCAGTGTTAACGTCACTGCCTGGTTAGGGAGAAGTGTCTGTGCGTGAGTTTGTGGGTTCAGCTGCACCCTGAAGCCAGGCTATTTTTGCCATATATTTCTCTGAGAGTCGTGGCAGGACAAGCTTGCTGTCTGTAGCCTTGATCTAAAATGCACCAGAGACTGTGACTGGGGGCCCCAGGCAGGCTGTGCTGGAGCTGGTGACATGTGACATCAGACCACACTGCTGGAGTCACCTTGGGGATCAGGACACCTACCCTTCCTGCCGCGCCAGGAAAGGTGCTTGGCAGAGGTTTTCTCTCCTTGCTGAGCCTGGCATGCAGCAAAAGGAAATTATAAATATTGTATTTTATTGAATTGTATTATTAGGGGCACAAGTGAGCACAGCAGGGTAAAACCAGACTGTGTTTAGCTGGTTAAGCAGTGAGCAGCACAGCACTGTGCTCCTGGGGGTTGCCCCTACTGCTCCCCCAGAGAACAATTTCTTGCATGGACCCCTGACACTGATTTGAGTCTTGTATTTCAGGGTTATTTGTTACCAGAAGATTTGCAGTGGTCTCATAGCACCCCTGTTTCCTTGAATTTAGCCACTCTGAATCTTGGCAAATTCAGAAAGCCAGGATGGGCTCTGCACGGGGGTTTGGAACAAGCTGCCCAGAGAAGTCAGTCAGGAAAAGCAGAGACCTAAAGATATGCTCGGGTGCCTCTCCTCTCTCCTTCCCTGCTCCCTTGGAGTTGTTGGAAAAATGAGGAAAACCTCTCATGATAACACAAGCATCCGTCATAAAATTGTTTGTGCTTTTCCCAGAAGGTGGGAAATCTTTACTTGGCTGCTTGTGGCTTTTTTTTTTTTTGAGTGGGGAAAGTGGATTTTGTAAGTGATAGAGTTGCAGGGTGAATGTGGGCACTTAATGGCTTTAATTCTGCTTCACCAGACAAAAAAATTGCTTTGGAAACTCTCCAGACTTGGGGGAATAACTCAAACTTTTCCTGATCTTAGTTGTTTTTCTAATTTATTTAATTTTAATCATGGAAGCAGACAAAGCTGTAATTTAAAGCCCTCACAGAAAGGACAGTTCCCTGGATGATCAGTTTGAAGGTGTGCATGGTGCTGCTCCCCAGGCATCGTGCCTTTCTCAATCTTCATTTGTTTCCTGTGGAGATGCAATCCTACGGCCAGGCTGCTCTTCTACGGATCTTAATTATTTCACGGGGGCAGCACAAAGTGCTCTGGACACTCATCATGTTCTTCCCAACTTCCAGCCTCCATAGAAACCCACGAGCTGGAGGAAGGCCAGGCAGCTACTCCAGTGCCTCCTGGCACAGCTCGCTCGCCCAGGAGTGGGGAAAGAAATAATCATGCTGCTAATTGGCATAATTATGTCAATAACTCCCAGGCTCCCAACTAGACAGAAATGATGGCAAGGCTTTTCCCAGAGGCTGTGATCTAACTGCAGCAGCGAGGAGAAGCTGTCTCCACCTCGTGCTGGTTCAAATCTCTTACACCAGTCACTTGTTTTTAAAATTTTAAAAGTTTAATTGTAATAATATGGTTATAAAAATAGTAATATAATTGAAGTAATAAAAATTTGAACAATTGGGATTAGGACAATAGGAGACAATAAAAAGAAAGAGGTAGGGACAGACCGGGTACCTCTTTCTGGGCAAAATAAGCCCGAAAAAGGACCCACAGTTAACAGAGGATTAACCCTTAAAAACAACAGCCTGTTACATATTCATACACCTCATACATGATACATAAATTCCATTCAAACAAAGGATTCTGTCTGGTCAGTGTCACCTTCTTCCTCTGAATCCTGACGGCATCTTCATGGCTGAGTGAGGCGGGAAGAAGTTTGTTTCTTCTGATAATGGAGCAATAAATTCTCTTTCTCTGAAAGATTTAGGTGTCCTGTGGCTGCTACCTCGGTGTGGGTACCTCATTCCTTTCTTTAAAAAAAGATCCCACATACATAGTTTCTATTTTAACTACAAAAGTTACATTTTAACTACAAAACTACATTTACCATACTATTAAAATGTTAATGCAGCACTACTAATCAATACAGCATAATACATATAGTAAATATCTGCATAGAGTTATATAATATGCACTTTTCACACTTGTTTCCCGAGTTGTAGGTCAGTCTGCTGTAGAGTAATTTTTCTTACTTATTGAGAGCTCTGGCCAAGAAGTTTTGATAATCCTCCAGATCGTTAGTCCCGTCAGCCCGCGGGATGTTCACAGCTCCCTTTGTTTTGCTTTTCCCGCTGAGCGAGGCCAGTGTCTGCTCCAGCAGAGAGGAGAACTTGTATCGCTGCACGGCTCCAAACCCGCCTTTCGCATATTTTCACGGTGTGACTGCTGCCAGTAATCGCAGCTAAATCTCATCTCTGTTGTGTGCCTGAGCTTTTAGCTCATCCTCAGCGTGCATTTTTAATCGAACCCGCTGCAGTGACGCGGCTTGGAGCTCGATGTGGCTGCCCAGCCTGCTCCTGAGCATCACCTGCTGTGCTCCCTGCCGGATCCTCCTCCTCCTCCTCCTCCTGGGAAGGTGCCTCCTGAGCCGGGCAGCGCTCCTGCCAGTGCCGGAGCATGGCACAGCCCTTCCCAGGACAGCTGGGGCTGGGACTCGCAGGGGAGAGGGCAGCACGCTCAGTGCACAGACCTGGCAGAACCGTGCCCTCGTGTCCAAGTGTCCCAGCGCCCGGGCGGCCTTGTCCTCAGGCAGGAACAGAATCACAGAATGGGTCAGCTTGTCAGGGAGCACAGTGGGGCACCTGCTCCAGTCTCCCAGCTCAGGCAGGGTCGTCCCAGAGCACAGGCACAGGATGGTGTCCAGTTGGTTCTGGGATATCTCCAGTGAGGGACACTCCACAGCCTCTCGGTGGGAAAAACCAATCCCTAACAAGCAAGTTCTAAGCGATGTCCAGATGGTAGAAAGACAAATTAGTTGTTGATAGAATTGCCTTGTTAATGTTTAGGGCTTGACGTGTTTCAGTTATCTCAGACCAGGGGGAGGTTACCAGGGAGGTACCACTCTCAGCTGACACAAAGAATGCAGAATTTAGGGGTACAAGGATATTTGGCAGAACACCCAAGATAAGGAAGAAACTAATAAAAACAACTGAGCAACTGTGCTGAAATCAGTTCTGGCTGGGTAAGAGGTAATTCCGGCAGGGGCAAATTGTGACCACTGACTCACAGACCACCGAACCAAAAAACCCACTAATTTAAGAGAAAGACTGAGCATGCAGATTAATTAGCACTGGGAGCAAGAGGATCATTAACCAACAGAAGACAGAACACTAATTAATAAGAGAACTAGATAACTTGTAGCCAATAAGCATCAACGCCTTGGTTTATTAAAATCCACAAAAAGGGAAAACTTCTGACAGCTGTCCTGCTGGCTTTGTGGATTGCAACCCAGCCATCTTTCTGCGCAGAACTATAAATAAATCCAAACCCTTGACTCTAAGCGTGGATGGGTCTTTGGCACAAGTGGGGGAAGAACGGATTTTGGGACAATCGCGGGACAATCGTGGGACAATCGTGGGACGATCGTGGGACCGCCACCACGACCCGCACCGGAGGGGGCGTGGCCGCCCCGCGGAGGCCCCGCCCCCGGGCCCGCGGAGGGAGGAGCGCATGCGCAGTGCGCCGGCCGTTACCTGTCAGCGGCTGCGGGTGGAGGAGGAGGAGGCGGCGGGATGGAGGGGCTCATCCCGCTCGTTAACCGGCTGCAGGATGCCTTCGCGGCACTGGGCCAGAACTGCCTGCTCGACCTGCCGCAGATCGCGGTGGTGGGCGGGCAGAGCGCCGGCAAGAGCTCCGTGCTGGAGAACTGCGTCTCCAGGTGAGGGGCGGCGGGCACGGCACCCCCGCGCCCCCCCCCGCTCCCCCCCCACGGCCCGCGGCGCGCGCCCTTCCCAACGGCCGCGGCGCGCGCCCCCCCTCAGAGCGGCCAAGCGGGGGGGGCGATGTCGGGCGGGGATGGACGAGGAGGGTTTTTGGGGGACAGTTCGCGGCTCCGAGCCCACCGTGGGTGCTCGTCCCCACCGAGGATGCTCGGTGTCCCTCCCCCCGCGGTGCCTCGGGGGTGGCGAGGCGGGCCCTGGCCCGACAGCGCCCGTGATGCGATGTGCGCGCTGCGGGGAAGCCGCTGCGCTGCGAGCGCGTTCGTGTGCCCGCTCCGTGCGTGTGTGTGTGTGGGTGACCGCTGCCTGAGAGGAACAAGGTGTTTAAAGCCCCAAACCCTAATTTCGGTGGCGTGCTGGCTCTGGGCGCCTCATTCCTCCCGTCCCATCGCGTATAAATTCGCACCGACCCGACGCGCCTGTGGGTATTCGAATCACGGCGTCATTAGGGTTGGAACAGACCTCCAGGATCGTCGAGCCCAACATGCGCACCGTTTCTAACAAATCGCTGACAGGAAAAGGGGAAGCCTGGCGATTCAGGCGGTGCTTTTTGACGGCCACGCAGTGCCCCTGGAGACGTCCCGAGGTAAACATGGGCTTCACGTGCTGCTTGATGGAGTTCCTGCTGCGTTTGCCTCGAATAGCTGCGGGCTCCCGGAGGGAACAGCCGAGCTGCGATCCTAGTCCGGATTATAGGGTCGCAGTACTGTTGTGTGTCGGTGATTGGGGTCTTTGATGTGCAGAGATCTTCACCGAAGGTAATATTAAGTGCTGTGACACTCCACAACCTGGCCGTGTGTCAGGCTGCAGTAGCTCTTGATACCCGGTATAAAAATGCTGTATAGTGGTTCTTCATCTCTCCTTCAAAACTGACTGTGTTAAATGTCAGTTCTTCCTCTTCTTTCTCCTTGAAGTCTGTAGCCAGCTACTGGTGTTGACTGTACTCGAGTTTGGAAAACATAAATGAGATTCTCAGAAAGCATGATTGGCCATCAAATTATTACTGTTCTCTTTAAACAGTCCTTAAAAAGTATTTTGGTAACCTTTTGACTTTTTGAGCTACGTGTCCACAAAGCTGCGCAAAGCACAGGGGAAAAGCACTTTCATTTTTCTTGTCAGTGAGGCCGTTTTGGTCCCTGGAGTCGGGGCTGAGTGGGGTGGGCTGATGTCGGTCTCTGGATTCAGCTGTGCTGATGGAAGATCATGCTGCTCCCAGCCGCTCGTCACTGCTCGGCTGCCCGAGGGATCTGCTCCATCTGATCCGCAGGTGGAGCTGTTCTTTTGAGCCCCTGGATGTGCCTGGCTGGAGCAAAAGGTGAAAACGAGCAGTTGGTGCTGATCTGGTCTGTTCGGCCAGGAGGCTGGAACCAGCTGCACGAGTGAGGTGTGGGCACCTCTAGGAGGAGTTAGGAAGGAAAGCTAAGGGCAGTAACTTTTTTACTCATGTAGTTATTCACCGTGCAGCCTGCAGATGCTTCAAGACAGTCTCTTCAGAGAAGAGATTACAGGCTGCTATGAAACACCAGAATGTCTCTGTCACATGGGGTGTGGAATTTGGATTCTTTCAGCCTGGTTTTGGAATTCCACATCGTTGTTTTATGCAGTAGCTTCTTGAGATCCAGCATGAACTGATCTGTAGTACCTCCCTACTTGCAATCTTTAGAGCCTGTTGCAAAAATGACATTCAATTGCATTGTTTCAAACCTATTCCATGAGACTTGAGCACGGATATTTTGTTTGTGCCTTTCCTCCAGACTGAGGACGTGTGGTCAGCAGATGTGCCCTGGCTAAGCTGTGAAAACTTGGTTGTGAACCCTCAGAACCAGATTAATAAATATCCATGAGCTCAGAAGAGGATTTTGTTTGTTAGATCAGCAGACAAATGGCCTGTGTCTCTTTTTAGTAAGCCATAGGATATTCCTGTTTTTATGGGATAATGCAGCTGCTCTCTGCAAACAAGTTTGCTTCATCCACATCTGTCTTGACATGGCTTGTAGAGGTAGAAAATCTCCCTGTAGAACCATGCTACCCTCATTTCTCTTTTTACTGGTATATTGCATGACCTCTGGCAACCGCAGGGCCAACTTTAACTAATAGTAACATAGCCTTGAAACTGACATGAAAAGAAAACAATCCTTGCATTGCTCAAAAAATCTTTGTGCATTAGTACTCATGGCTTTTGTTTAGTTTTTTTTTGGTTTGGGTTGTTTTATGGTTGTGGGTTTTTTTTGTTTTGCTGGTTTAATTTTGTTGGGTTTTTTTTAATCACATGAATCATTATCATTAGTAGATTTTCAACTCTTAGCCTTCAAAGAAATATTGAAGATTCTTTTCTTCAGGAGCAGCTGTAATTGGTATGAGGAAGGCATGATATCCTCCATGGGTGTTGCTACAACCGTGCTGCTGGTTGTTAATGTGTGTTGTCAGTGGAGCTGTGGTGAGGTTGGCAAGGCGGTTTTAACCCCAGGATCTGGTTGTTATCCTCTGCTCCCTGTAGCCACTGTGGGTGTTTCAGTCTTCCACAAGACCTTTGGTTGTGCAAAGATTACTTTTTTTTTTTGCACTTGGACATTAGAAACTATTTTCTGACTTGCAGGTGGTATCACGAGTTAGAGCTTCTTTTTGGCTCCTAAGAAGTGTGCTGGGCTGTGCAGGGTTATCCACCATCTCGTTTATGCACTGCCATCACTTTTCAGAAGGGTTCTGAGGAATCTGCTGTGGCACAGTTGTGTGGGCTGGCAGGTGGCCTGGGGGTGGGAGCTGGGTCCTGCTGAATGAATGACACATATCCATCACTGCCTCCAGGGTAGCAGCAAGACCTGTTCAGGTGCACACAGGATCCTTAATGACTACCAGCAGGCAGGGAATATGTTGGGATTAGCTCACGTGTGTTTTGCATAGATGGTGGTGTTGAGTGAGGATGGATTCTGCAGGAATTGTGGGACCCCCAGAACTACTTGTCTCGTTGTAGGCTGGCTTTGAACTAAGCTGGAATTAAAGTGTCAAATCTCCCAAAGTGTCCATTGTTGTTGCTATTTGGATTAGCATCCTCTGAGGAATGTGGAGAGTTTCCTCTTTGCGTACTGCTCCCCTGTGTGTAAGGAGACAGTTTCTTTTGGTAGTCAGGGACTGGGTGTGAAGGTTTTTCTCTTGCGATTCTGGTTACATTTAGATGCAAACAGAGATTCTGGAGAGCACCTGAGGACAGCAGTCATTTCCATTTCATGTGTTCATAACTGGAGCTCATGGTGTGTGTTTGAGGAAATGAAGTTGTCTGAAGAGCAAATGTTCTTCCTACCTCCTTCTGCTTCCTTTTGTAACAGGAGTAAATGTGCCCAGAAAATGTAGAGCCAGCACTGAAGCAAAGGATCTAATGCAGCCTTCTGGTAGGGCTTGGTTGGAGAGCCATTCAAAAGCACAAAGGAGAGTCAAACAACAAATGCCAGCAAGTTGCCAGTGGGAGAAGGCACTCGGTCTCTCTTATTCCTGTGCTCCTGAGCAGCTCAGGGCAGGAGCTTATATGTTGTTTGTGCTTTTCAAACTGGCTTTTGATAATAATGAGGTTACTTTAAAGAAAACTACTGGCAGGAAGCAATCCCTGTAAACTGTATTTGGAAAGAAAGCACTTTCTATTATTTTATCTATAGCCAAATGGTTTTTTCAGATAACTGAAGGCACAGACAGCAAGCTACCTTGTCAGGGCCTCCTTCTTCAGAAGTCAGAACCTTGTTTTACTCTTAAAAATAGCAAGAAATTAATAATTAGGTTTCCAACTTGAAAGCTCTTCACTTCCCTTCCTGCTTAATATAATACAAACTGCATGAGGCCAAATAATTGTTTTATAAGAGATGTGAACTCGTGATTGTAAGCCTGTCAGTCATAATCAAACAGGCACTTTCATTTTAAGAGCCCGAGGTCTGATTGTGTAATTCAGCTTTACAGCTTTTTGATCTGAGATGCCTTTGACAATCGTAGGGCCACTGCATGTAAGTAGAGCTATTTATTATGACATATGTAGTGATTATTTCTTTTTGAAATTACTGTTCCTTGTGTGCTCAGCTCACTCTGTTCTGCTTGAGGTGGCGGTTGTGAAAAGACTGTGTTGAGTCATTAGGAGAAGAGAAGGGACTTTAACTCCAGCTGCTAGAGCAGAAAATTTCTCTGAAGAATGTAGACACATATTTAGATTGATGCTTCCTGGGGGACATGTATTAAGATTGGTGCAGGTATTTTATTCTTTTAGTTACTAGGCATTGACAGAAAAACTTTGTGACAGAAAATCTCCCCTTTTGTGAAAAGGCAGAAAAAAGCTAAGCAGTCAAGCTGAATACAAACTGAGATACAAACGGAGACGTGGTGCTGTGTACTCTTTTCTAATCTTAAGGATCTTCTGGAAATGAGAGTCAGCCACTCCTTTTCCTGACTAATTAAGACACAGTACAGCTTGGAGTACACTATTGAGTATATTAGCCTGGTTATCAAAATACTCTGGTGCAATGAAACCAAGGATGTTCCAGGTATTATATTTATTAGAAACAGCAGCAAATGAGACAGTGGCTCATTTGGTTTTTTTCCCTGAATAAGGTTTTGCATTTATACATTGAGGAACAAACTGGCTGTTTAGATGGGATACAGATAGCCTGGTTTTGTCCTTAAATGCAAGTTCATTGTCAATTTAAAGTTCTTTTGTTTTTTCCTTCAAGTCTTGAGAATTTATATATACAAAGTAAAGGAAATGTGTATTAAAAAACAGACATGCAAACAAATATGCTGTTTTTTCAGCACCACCCCACATGTAATTTTTTTTCCTCTAAAACTACTTTGAGGATTTTCTCTTTTATTTTTGGCATGTAAATTTTGCCAATTGAGAAAAGCTGTGCTCTGTCATGAGGCAGGCATACTGTAGGGAGCTCTGACCTTTACTGTGGCATAGAAGTTC